TCTTTATATTGATCATAGAATATTCGTTTACGTAGCTTTCCGTTTTCCGTTTTGTTAAGTGCTGCCATCTCCAGGCTATAGAGCAAGAAGTTTAGAATATAAGACTCGTATATCCGCAGCTTTGTGCTTTTTTTCAAAATCTTTGTCTTTCAAGATCTGGAATAACTTGTTCGTCGTTAACGTTGTTTAATACAGCATTGGTATCAAGGGTCAAACAGACGTTGGCCTCGGGTCGAGCAAGTCATTTCTGTCTGATTGGTCGTTTTCAAGTTAATCGAGAAAACCAGATCGCAGCACCTCTGTTTCGGAGCTTGGAACAATGATGTGGCAGCTGCAAAGCTTGTGAAAGCAACGTGATGTCACCTGCAACAGAATTTGCGCTGATTTGCCCATTCTTGCAAAGTAGTCGTTTCACTCCTTCGCCTCGGCTGGAGCACAAAAACAAAGAACGTCGCAAATCTTAGGTAAGATTCCACTCCTCCATGCCTTATTTGAACTCCGGACCTCTCAGTTTTGAATTCGATGCCCCGTCAACAAGCAACATCGATTTGAGGATTGGCCATTGGACTTGGAGGTTGACAACAACAGACGGTCTGCAGCCAGGATCTTTGGGATCGTAACTTTCATCTCGACAAAGAGTCTACTGCTTCATCACTAAGTGACAGCTGGTAGCGACATCCTTGGGAGCAGTTTATTTTGTCTAAGGGACAGTGCTGGCCAAAAAAGCGGTCCTAATGTTCCCTTATTTTGCCTTCGTGGGTCTGAAACATATGTTCTGAAGCTACGCACAATGCAAATGGGCGTAGCTCTCAAGAACGAAAATGGTCTTTATAGAGGAATGAGCGAAAGTATGTGTGCAAAACAGGCATCAATGAGCGATACAGATTTAACCCATCGTCGAAATTGTAGTCCTTTCGACGGTTGAGAAGTGACGCTAATATCTGCACCCAACCGTACCGAATATTTTGCCTCTGTGAAACGTTTTGTTTGGATTCACTTCATGAAAAATCCCAGTCGATTTAATTGAATCTGCAGAGCACTTGCCAGCTGCAGCAGTCGAAAGGATCAATAATTCGCGTTACACGACCTTTCCGGTTTGAAGGGCGTCGAACGCCGACCACGTCCAATTTTTTCGAAAGACATTCAGAATTAGTATTACGGTTTAAGTGAATCCTTCTGTAAAGCTAAGCAATTGTTCACACAGAAAAACTAGTGCAGATTACACAACAATGTTTTACGACCCTTTTGCGTCAAGAGGTTTAGGAAACTGTTTCAGCTGGCCAAGGCTACATGGCATTGGAGCATCTGGGGCGAATGAGTGAACAGCAACATTACAGTGTTGGCTTAAATGACGTATTTGCCGGTTGCACCAACAAAATCTTTTTTCAAACCATGAGCTTAACAAGAATACAGAATGTTGTTTTCTGTCTGGAGGAATAAGTTTTATTGCTGGACTTTGAGTTTAATCGTTTCATCCAGTTTGCGAATCCAAAACTCCTTGGTTTACCTTTATTTGTATTATCCTGCGCTATTTTTAAAATATTCCATAATTATGCGTAATTGTTAGGCTATAAGTTCAGAGTTTACACCTCCAACTAATTGCATGTATACAGTAGTCCTAGATGTAATGTTGCTCAGATGCTCTTCAATTCAGGATAAATTCAAGACATACAGAGGACCAGATATTCACAGTCACACAGTTAATGAATATGCAAATTCTGTTCAATCTTTCTAGTTTTACCTTAAGCCTGTAATTCAATCACAGCAAATTCATAGTTGAAAAATCGTGAATAATATGCAATCCCGTCGTGTGCACTGCAGGCACTTAGATACCATGGATCTCTGGCCTTGTTAATTGGTCCCCCAAGGCGTCTAGAGGCAAGGATACTACCAAGTGTGAGATTTCCATCCTCTTGCACCCCCGCAATATCGATGTGAAGTAAAAAATACATTTTTCGTTTTTTACACTGAACGTTTTCGCAGTTAAAATCCGGGATCATAAAATTTTAATATTATGTATCGACGGTGAGATGGAAACTCCACTCATGCAGTCTACCGCACAACATTGGAATTATATTTTCAATATCGAATTCTGTCAAAGATTATTAGTATAATAAAAAAAGTTACGTGACCCTTCATAAAGTGCGATGTGAGATGATGGCAAGTTTGACAGACTTTTGTGTACAACGTTTCGAATGAGGTAAGGAGAGTGAAATCTCCTCTGCTGTTTCTGATGCTTCTTGACTGTGTGTTTCAGTCAATACGAAGGAGTGAATCTACAGCGGCAAGAGTGGGCAACATTTGCATACATTTTCTTGCATCTGAGAATGACATCAACCGCATTGCTTTCAAGCAACTTGAATCTGTGAAATCACTGTTTGTAACCGTGAGGCGTGTGCTTTTCTTTCATTCTATCGATAGACGAAATTGACGGAAATTGGTAGAACCGAGGACTCTCTGACCCTTGACACCAAAGTTGAGCAAAAGGTATTAGAATATCTCTGCCTTGAGAGCACTGGCTGCAAACGGACGAGTGAAAAGAGAGTCAAAAGGCGCCGTGCATTAGCATTCACAGAAGGGAAAAAGATATTAAAACTCTGAAAGGACTATGATGCTGGCAATGGCCCCAAGTGGTGAATATACAGAGTCCGCATTCTGAACATCTTGCTCTATGGCATGGAGACGGTAGTGCTTAACGAAACTGAGGTATACTGTAAGCGGCGTAAATGAAGATTTAATTATTAATATTTGATGTGAAGCAGTACAAACTGGTGCCAAAAGCTTTTGTAAGGAAGTAATTAGAATACTCACGAAAGTCACCGGCCGGTTGCAATAAGGGCGTTCAACAGGGTTGGTCCATTTCCGGAAAATTGACTATAGCTGCCTTTTAGAAGCGACTGCTGCACGCAAAGCATGATGGCAGACGAACTCTATCAAAACTTGTAACAACATCCAAAGATCTCGTTAAAACTGACACTGATAGGACAGAAGCATAAATAAATAAACTCTGTTATTACGGGTTTGCTAACAAACTGCTAGTTTTCAATATCGCGAGTAATAATAACAATCTCCTGCGAGTCCGCGCATTTGTACAAAGAAGTATCTTCCCCTTGCTTCTAGTAACTTAAGCTACCGTTTACGCAGGGTAGGGTTTCATGTATTTTAGCACATGCAGTACAAGGGCGCAAAACAGTACCACTCTATTGGGTTGAAAACCAACGAATACGTCTCATTCCATTGCATCTATCATACTGCAGGTGTAAAATACCATGGAGTGAGCCATGTCATGGTCCAACGGCCCCTAGGTTACAGAGGATTGACGGGAGAAATACAAAAGAATTGATCAGTTTACCTCGAAAAAATTGTAAGTTATAACATTCGCACGGCCAACCAAAAACTTATATTTGGCACTCCCTTGTTGACATTCAAACGACGGTTCTCATGCGCTAAATAAGCGCTCTTACAGACTTTTAAAATATGTACAAACCACGGGAAACAGCGTCAAGTGTCGTCCGGTGTTTGCCATGTCAGACCAGAGCACAGCGGCCGAGGTAAAGTCACAAGGATCATAAGAAGGGAGAAATGTCAGCCAGGCCTGCTGATTCAATATTGGCATAACACGGAAGCGGCTTTTGGCCACATCCATCGACCGGCCGG